TTGTTTGTCCAAGCGAACTTGTGGCTGTCATTACAATCCTATCCAACAACAAAACACGATTCAGTAACATTTATCAGTTGAATCACGAAGAAGTTGGTTACTTTTGTTTAGCGGGCTAGCGAAACGCTGAGGAGTTCATGGACTTAATCGCACCATAGAGAGGGTAACATTTTCCCAGTAACAGTTTTAGGGAGAATAGGCATTTTCAGGAGTTGTTAGTGAAACTGTATTCTTTACTATGTAACGTCTGGCAGTCTTGACCTGTGTTGACCTTTTAATGAAAAAATAACAATTTAATCTCCTCTTGTGGACGTCATAAGTTTTCCTTGTAGCTTTTGGAATTTATCTAGATGTTATCCTACGTTAATAAATTACATTTCTCTCCCTCTCTCCGATGAACAATGCGTATAAAAAGTTATACAGTTATAGAAATGTTAAATACCTGACAGTGATTGCTAGGGTTAACTGTACCATACGCGTGACAGTGGTTATTGATCTTACACTGCCTCAAGTCACATTGTGGACCCAGCTTGGTGTAGCAAGAATTGCATTTGCATGTGTAACTGCCATTTGTGTTGGTGCAGTTATGTTGGCATGGATTGTTGATGCACTCATCAACGTCTGTTGAAAGACAGTAAAAAGGAAATATGAAGATCTTCAATTCATGAGCGAAAATTTGCAAATTACTTGTATTTCGTAAAGAAATAGTAATGACAGTAATAATGATCAAACAATCAAATTGCTGAACATTGCAACTTGCTATCACACTCGATATTAGAATTGTCAAAAAGCTGCTTGATTGTGAATCATTTAAAAACACCAGTTTTCATTTCATAAATTAAAAATGCGTTATTGACCAAGCGTGAGGTCAAGATGGCTGGATATTAGTCGAGTTCTCTTCTTCTTCTTGCGTTTTCATGGACCGACGCTAAGTTAAGGTACATAAAGACGCAAAAAATAAACCAAGGCTGATGTCTAGCCATCTTAACTGAACGATCTTGGTCAATAACGGAGTTATTTCGCCTCAATAAAAACTAAGAACGACTTGTCTATTTTCGAGAGCTGGGAAAGAAAGTCAACTTTGATGGCGTGTTCTGGTTTTTTTATTTCACACATAGAAAAAAATTTCGATTTAATAACTTCATTCCTCATTGGTTTCGAATTCAACTAGCTTTTTCACCCTTGAGACAACGTGCGCCACAACTCAATGTCCTGCAACACGGAATTCTCAGATTACTGAAAACCTTCTAAAATCGTCTTTCTCAAAAGCTATCCTGGATAGATAGTCAACTGTTTTACGGTAAATACATTCGCCGTTCTCATTTTACAGTTTCCTTACAGTATTTTGAATTTTTTTCGTTAGAATCCGAAGAAAAATTTATTTCAAGTGTCACGCGTGGATGTCTACGTACACTGTGTACAACGGGATCGGCGAAAAGGACAACGTTCGAATTTTCGCACTCTCTAGAAGCACTTGAGGATTCTAAATAAAGATAAAATATTTTTCAATAGGAATTGGTGTTTGTAAAAGAGAAATATGGAAAAAAATCAGACTGCCGGACGTTTAGTTATTCGAAGACTGTGTCTGGTAGCGTCCGAAGAAAATTTTCTAAGTGTCACGCTTGGATCTTTTCGTAGTCTGTGTTCAGGGTCGGCGAAACGGACAAAGTTTGAATGTTTTCGTTCTCTAGAAGCGCTTGAGGATTGTAAATGAAGGTAGACTATTTTTTATGGAAAATTTGTATATTTCAAAGAGAAATATGAAGTTATTTGAGGACCGTGTCCGGTCGTATCATTGAAAATTTTATAAGTGTCAAGCGCTTGGATAACGTTGTAATCTGTATACGGGGTTGGCGAAAAACATCAAGTGCGAAATTTTTGGCTGCCTGGAAGCGCTTGAAGATTGTAAATCAAGGTAGAACATTTTCGTATAAATATTTTGGATCTCGAAGAGAAATATGGAAAAATATCGGACTGCCGGACGTTCAATTATTTTAAGACCGTGGCAGCCGCCGGACGTTTAGTTACTTCATTGTAGGAACGTCAGCGACACTAAAAGTTTGCGTTACAATTATAATTTGCTGCTTCGCATGGACAACAACCTTGACCACTCTTTCGAGTGCAAGTTCCTCTCCACGGGCAGGAAACTTCAACTGACCCTTGATCCAATTTAAAAAGGATGGCAAACTTCAATGAAAAAAAAATGTATGAATGAAAACGTGATGGAACGACATTTTCACTTTACATAATAAATGTGACGTCATTTGATGTTCTGGAAAGTTTTACGGTATGCAAATCAGCATGACTCAGCAGTCTGGAAATTTCTTCGATTATCGTACCGCTGATTATGAATGTGAATAGTCTTGACTAACCTCTTCAAGATGCTCACACCGAGACCTTGGTCCATAGTTTCGCTCCCTGAATACGCAAATTTCTGAATACGCAAATTTTTCAGGAAGGACTCACCCTTCTCGCAACACGTTCCTTCGTATCCCAATCGGCAACTACATCCGCCACTATTCGGGGTGCCGCCGTTATGGCAGTTACCCCTGTTACACGATCGTGTCACCACCAAATGATATGGACATTGTCCACCACACTGCGCGGAAAAAGTTTTCTGTCGCGTGCGATTCTGCGTGCCATTAGTGCCACAAGGATGGGAGCAAGAACTCCAAACACTCCAGCTTCCAACCCGACAGTTTACCGGATTGCATCTTCGTCTTCGTCTTCGCCTCCACGAGAAAGTCGAATTGATCTCAATGCACAAGAGCAGAAAGCAAATTGTCAAAATGCTGATTTTCATATCGCGTTTCTGTCAGTTGTTTGCTTAGTAATTTCTTTTACTTAGTTAGACCTTATAAAATCGTCTGGCACTACCGGAAGCCACGGACATTTTGCGCCGGCGGTAAATCTGACCAGTTTATAAGCTGCGCATGCTTTAGAGTATGTAGCAAGATGGCGGACGGAGAGAGCAAGAAATGAAAACAGAATGATCATAAAGTGCTTTACGAATTCTTTCCAACGGATAATTATCAAGTAAATGATAAGGAAAGACTGCTTTCGAAACGGAAAAGCGGCAATGGAAGTACTTACTCGACCGTTCCACTTCTTATTTATTTCCTCATAAGAGAAAGAGTACCTTATCAAGTGGAGAGGATGGCCCATGTCATCATGTACTTGGGACCCTGCACTCCATATGTCTAAAGAGCTTATCCGGTGAGATGAATTATTACCGCAACAACATAATTTTTCAATTTATACTAAAATGTAAAGAAAGCTTAAAAAGTTGAAGTAAATATAGTGCCTTCAGAACAAGACAGGCTTTTTAGTTGGCTTCCAATATTTAAAATTTTTAAAAAATTTGTTTTTGTTCTAATAAATCTGTTTTCTGAATCTCCTCTAGACTTTGTAATAAGTCTCCACAATCCTCAGAAAGTTAAATTGCTTCAGCATCTGGTGGCTTTTATTTGGCAGTCAAGTGAATTTAAAAATCAAATGCTGTCAAAGAGCAGCACACTTGCTCATTCAACATAAAGCAGGGTGTCTATTGATATTTTTTAACTCAAAGGAATAACATCAATGGACTCTAAATACACCATGCTCAGCTTAAAGGATTTTTACATGTTGTCTCTACACTATCATTGGTGGTATATATGCGGATGCTCATGGCCAGGGAAAGGCTATTGATTTTCCTTTAAAGATGAAAGTTTACGTTGGAAACTCACCAAAGCATTTCATTGTGAAAGTAGGGAAACTTATTCAAGCCCCAACAATACCCCTTGAGGTAGTATCTCTCACAATTAATACTAAAACATGCAGTAAAGAATATTTACCAACCTAAATTTTAGCTATTTAATATTTTTAGTAAAGCCAACAAAGCATTGATAGTTGGAAGATAGAGTTACATGTAAAGGACATACAGTTTTTACATTTGGATGTATTTAAGACAGTACAACATGCTTGTCATCAATAATATTTTAAATCATGTTTTTTATATGAAACTGAGTGTGCTTAGAATTGCTTTTAAGTTTCCATTTTAATTAATTATTATTATTATTGATTTTTTTTATTTTAAAGAATATTTACCAACCTAACTTTTAGCTATTTAATATTTTTAGTAACACCAACGAAGCATTGATATTTGGTAGATAAAGATACATGTAAAGAAGGATATAAAATTGTTACATTTGGATGTATTTAAGACAGTACAATATGCCTGTCATCAATAACATTAAATCATGTTTTTATATGAAACTGAGTGTGCTTAGAATTGCTTTTAAGTTTCTATTTTAATTGATTTTTATTTTCCCTGATTTTTTGCTATTGAAAAGTAGCGCAATTTAAATTGTTAAGCAAGTCAACGCGATATAGAAGTCAAGCCAAATAGAAGTTTGTGCAGCAGTGCCTCCCTGTTGTTAGTGAAGAAGAGAAATAAGTTGGGTTTTTGTTCATTTTACTCAGTCCTTTTTCCCACTTTATTTCTTTGCAAATCTCTCATTTCGTTTATCAGCTTTTGCTTTTCTGCCTCTAAAGCATTATATTTTCTCTTCCAGTCTGAAAGCTCATCTTTCGTGAGATGAAGTTCCCTTTTCACTCCCTTAATAGACACTAGTTCACTATGTAGAATGCTTAAAGTGAGACATTATGAATTAAGCTGTTCTCTATTTTTTCCTTTAGTTTGTCTATATTTGCATGACACTCCTGCCTCTCTTTCTAGCCTGCCTTGGATAGGGTAGCCTGTCTCTCAGCTCTAAACCATGATCTGGAAACTGTGGCATTAAGAAAGTCAATGTAATCACATCTATCCTTAATATTTTGATGCCATATCTTTAATAATGGGTATGGTATATTTACTGTCAGAGCAATTTGAAATCTAGAAATCCCTTGCTGTTTTATTAATGACAAAGGTGGACCTGGGACAGAGATTTTCCACTCAGCTTCTCTGCATGTACCTTGAAATGACATCTGACATTTTTGTGATATATTTTGGGTTTCTTATATTTATGCGAAGGAAATCTGAAATCGAATTTTCAAATTAAATCTAGGCTTTCTGTAACGAGTCCCAGTTCTTCGATGTATGAGAACGCCCGTGACTGATGAATGGTTCAGTCAAACCTCTAGTTTTTTCAGTGGGTATACATTCTGTGCCTACATACATGGGGTATATATAATTGAATAAACCAGGTTACAAAGTATATTTTGGGAGAAAGAAAATGGAAGCCTGTTGTGTAGAAATTTTGGGCAAGACTACGGCGGTTTTTGAAGTTCCCTGGAACTTATTTCCTGCATGGAAGAAAGCCGGAAAATACACTAAAAAAAACTGCAACAAAAGGAGAATGTTTTGCGAGGTCGAGGAACCATTGTTTTTTATAAGACGCCTAACCGTACGACCTTTGATTGAGGATACCTCAGACAAACCTAAGACACTTGAAGGAGTTACACTAGAGCAAAAAACACCCTATTTGATATGACAAGGAAGTCTCGTTGATTTATCTACTTATATTTTCGAATTTGTCGGATGTTCTGAAAAATAATGTGAGGTCGGGGAAACCGATGTAAGTAAGGTAAACATGCTCAATTAGGCGGGTGCACGATATGTGGTGTACAATACAGATTGGTCTGTTTTTCGTTTTCTCAGTGATTAACTTTGTTATGTATGAGTAGCAATTTATGCTGAATGGAAAATGATACAAAACGTGCCAACCTCATTTTTTGCCATTTTTTGTGCCTTTGTCATTGTTACGTTTCTTTGGGGTGTCCGGAAAGCTAAGGCTAAGACCCGGAAAACTAAGACCCTGGTGTTTTTTTAGGGGAAATCATCAAACTTCAGCTTCCTTTACCTTTAGGTGGTAAAATGAATAAAATAAATGCACTCACACTTAAAAATAACAATTTAGCTAGCCTCTTCCAGACATTCAGACATATTAAACCGTTAAAGCGTTACGCGCGATAGAAAGCAGCCGTGATGGAACTTCAGACGTCAAATAACTTTTTCGGTGAAGTAATTATTTCAACACCTATTATCTCGAGTGCTTCTGGGTTATATAACTTTTTGACACATCTCTAGACTTACATTTATAGCCAGTCGATGAATAAAACTAATAACTTCCGTCGGCAAAGAATATCACTTATCTGATGGCCTTGTTGCCATTCGATTCCCGACAGATGCCATAAAGGGGCGACGGATAAGTCGTCGAGTGATCTTTTCTATTTTATTAACGATTTTGCGTATAACATCGCAAAGCCAGTTGTGTCCAAATGGTCATCAAATTATCATTAAAAATATATTTCTACCAGTTTCGTATTGTTTACTGACGGAAACTTTGAGTAACTATAACTGGGTCACAATTCGCCAAAGCTGTGGAGTGAGTGAGTGAGCGTACAACAAAAGAAAAAAAAACAACTTAAAAAAAATGGAAACTGGTGCTATTTAAATACCTAACCATGAAAAGTAAAGCATTGGCCCCAAGGCAACACGTGCTTCCGCCGACGAAATCATCAGACCAGAAATTGGGAAAGTTATCAGGACAATATGAAAGAATATTTGTTAGTAAGTAGCTTCAGAGTAATACGTCCTAGTGATAATATGGAGGAAACAAAACGAAAAACGCAAAGCATCTTTTCGAAAAATACCGTTTTTCAAGGTAGACAAAGCACTGCTTCACTTCATTCGTTTTTTCGCAAACTTACTTACACAGTGTAAAGCCACACTGCGACAACCGGAAATAGTTTCGTTTGCCATACCGTAGCCCCTTCTCGCCGCGCTTTTTTGTTTTTATTTTTTTTCGCGCCCCGTCTTTCGCGCTGCGCCCTAACTATAAAATGAATGTCTGGAAGAGGCTAGCTAAATTGTTATTTTTTAAGTTTGAGCGCATTTATTTTATTCATCAGATTTCCCCTTAAAAAAAACCAGAGTCTTAGTTTTCTGGGTCTTAGTTTTCCGGGTCTTAGGTCTTAGGTCTTAGGTCTCCGGACACCCCGTTTCTTTGATAAGCTCTGTGTTGCTCGATTGTGTTGACTTCCTTGTTTCGCTGAACGAGAGCGTTAGTAGCTACCGTGGATCTAGAATAATTCATCTGCTGCTGCATTTTTAATCGGGCGCAGCCAGTGAAAATGGCCCAATTAAAGCAAGTGTATCCATACAAACATTCATGCTGAAAGCAATGAATGAGGTATCGTGGTGGAGCAGATGTTGACGGAAGTTATCGACCGTGGACGGAATTTGTATTCCGTGGGCGGAATTTCCATTGTGGACCGTGAACGGAAGTAGTCTCGCATGCTACTCCTCCCTACTTAGTGAAAGTTAAAATTAATTTCCATGAAGCTCAGAAACTCAAGTAGAAAGAAATAAAATATTTCTATGGTTTAATAAAAATATTAACCATAAATCACATTTCCGAACTTATGAAAATGCAACTTGAATCGAGAAGCCGAAATGTTCTCACCTAGGGAACCCGCAGCGGGTTCATTTCAACACACGCTATGACCACGCGAAAGAGCACCAGAGGTAGCTATATTGGTAAGCCGCGTATTTGCGTTCGTCTCCAGTTGGTATAAAGTAATCATTGCTTTATCATTGTACTTTTCCTCGTGAGCTCTTCAACATACAGTCCACATATCAATTCTAGCGGCAAAGACAGTCTCACAAGAATTTTTTTTCGAGCTCCAATATTTCGGTCCGGACTTGAGGCTCGCTCGAACAAAAACCGGCAACAATACCAATCCGGTCAGTGCAAAATACAGACCGCAGACTGCAGACTGCAAACCTTTTTTCCAATTCTCATTACGAAGAACGCACAAGTTTTCTTATCACACAACTACCCAAAAATAAGAGAGAATTTATTCCATAAGTCTTGAAAGTTCGCATAAACCGAATTCAACTTAACCTATATTCAACAAGTCCAAGAAATCGATACAAACTTGAGCCATAACATGAATGACCTGGCTCTAAGAGCCCTTTGATTATTGATAGCGAGTGATCTTCCCATTAAATATCCTCTAAACCCCTTTCATGTACGACCAGTGTTACAAAGTGTTCAGATTTTCCGCACTCTCCATGTTGATTACATGTCACATCTCCGCTTAGTGTACTTCAGGCTTGTTGTGGATAGTTCAAATCCAATAGTTATGCTACGCTGTGTGAAGGTTATTGGTTTTTCTTTTTTTGTACCTGCATATTTTATACCAAAAAATGTCTGAGAAGATCTTTCCCGGCTTGCGCTGCCATAGTAACATTGCTAGTTTGTCCTATTATGGAGCAATGTTACTTCATTTCTGGACTACCATAGATCCATATCGACTTGGGCGTCGTGTGTTCATATGGTTACGCTAATGTCGAGTCAATCGTCTTAAAGTCTCATTTCTCTTGGGAATGTAGCTATATGAACATGCTACTCTAATGTCGAATCAATCGTGTTAACGTCGTATTTCACTTGGGAATGTAGCTATATAGATGGGTGGCCTTTTTACGAAATATGTGACAATTTCCTCTTTTGCGTCAAAGAATGATCGATAGCATTGAATTCCAATATTTTGCTTTGATTTTCTTGACCACCCAAAAGAAACGAAGAATTCGAAAGTTTAGAGACAAGTAAAAATGCTTTTGCATGCCGGTTTTTGATCGCGCGGCTGTTCTTGATGGCTTGAAAATGTGCATTCCAAGTTTTATCTTTCACACGGAAAATTCCATTCCAATTCATTGTATTTAACTTTCCACTACGATATATGAATGGTAGGTAGAGTGTCAACGCCAAATAAAAAAAAAAGGTGAATTGACTTTTAGATATGATTAAGCACGTCTTTGAACATCTGCAAACAATTCAAGAACGTACTTAAACGCACTTAACTATGGGCGTTCTCTCAAAAAAAGTGATTTCAACAACTGAGTTTTTCTTTTCATCTAGCGGATGAACTTTAATGAACTTTGTTTATTTTTTCGATGAACCTTGAAAAACAGCAGATAGCGTAGATTTACACAAGATAAGTTAAAAGTTGATTGACCTGAAATACTCGCGCGCAGTTGTTTGTTAAGGACGTTAAGCCGTTTGATCGATCAAACTCGCGTTAAATATAAATTAGGAGCTATCGGATTATAACTCTTCTTTAACTAGTCGACTTTTTGCAAATTTCGATCTTGATCTAGAGAGCAGGTATCAGAATAATATGGAACGTAGGAATTGTAATCGTAATTCATGTATGCTAAGAGATGCCTGACCTGTTACGATTACCTTA